ATTTTATACAACTTTGGAGATATCCTAAAAACTTTTATATGACAAAAAGCACAAAATCTTTTATTTATTTGTATACCAAGCGCCTATATAATACACACACACACACACACACACATATTATATGCAGATACATATCTTGTCAAGTTCCAAATCTAACTATGTTTATGATCCCAACCTGTCAAATCTTTGATTGCTTTACCATCCATGACTTATAGTTTTTGCAGATGGTGTTCTAAAAAGATAAAAAAAAAAAAGTATGAGTGGAATGGGTAATTTTATGATGCACCTTCTTGAGAAAAGAAAAAACTAAAATAGGGGAGGAAGAGTATAAAAAATCAGTGTTGAATTAATTTACAAATCTATATTTATATTAATTAAACAATAATGGGATTTATTTCATTTATTAAATTAAAAAAAAAGTAAGTCTCTGAATTCTGTTAATTTTTGATAAATTTTTGAAATGCTTCTACAAGAACTCAATATTTTTTTTTATAATTAAAATAATTTCGAATCAACACATAAATACACTAAATTAATTCTAAATATACCCTCAAATTTGTAGGGTAACGTTTAGATTTAAACTATAATTACTAATTTTTTGATTGATTTTATTATAGCAGAAATAATAAAACTAGAATATTTCAATCATTCTACTCAAACATGATCTTACGTTGAGGTTAATTACTAAAATCCAAACAGGACCAAGAAGTAACAAGGAGAAAAGTGGGAAGGTGGGTTGCCCCACTCTCTCTCCTCTGTACATAATTCACCAATAAATCAACTAAATGCTCTTTGTCTTACCTTATACCCACCAAAAACATTCTGTCCACCTGTCCCTTTACCTGGAGAATATATATATATGTATATATATATTCTGAAATTATTATATTATACTATATTATTTTTGTTATTTATTTGTTTCTCCTAACTTTTTTTTTTGGGGGATAAACAGATTTTTTTCTTTTTTTCCAAGAAAGAGAAAAGAAGGTAGGGTAAAATTTTGTAACACCAACTTTTATAGCACATGGTTGGATCAAATACTTTTGAACTTTGTAGTAGCAGGCTAGACTTGCTAAAGCAAAGTGATAAGCAAAGGGGAGGAGAGCATTGGGATCTGAGAAAAAGAAGGGAAACACGTTTGGCTACTAGTGTACGGCTGTGATCAATCAAATACATCTATGTATTCAAATGTACGGTCAGGATTGGTGATTCAGGCTCTCTCTTCTTTCTCTGTCTTCAGTTCCATTAGTTCACACTAGCTGCTTGCTAGAGATTGAAGTTGTTGAGCAGGGTGGAATGATTCCTAAAGCTCTGAGTGAAAAGCATTGTCTCCCAGCAAAGAAAAAGTGGGTGCCTCGAATATTGTATCTAAAACTTTTTTTTTTTTTTTTTAATGATTGACGCCCATTTCACTAGCCAATTCACACAAGTATTGTATCTAAAAGATACTTGTAAAGATCCAATATTTCTCTTGGTTTTGGTGAGATAGCTTGTTCAGTTTACCTTCAATAGAAATGTCTAATCCAACTCAATTGTAGATATAATGAATGGTCTGAACCTGAACCTCTAATTATACCCTCTTTTTTTCTTTTGTTCTTTCTTGAAAGTTGAAATCCTTAATCTATAAAACGGCAGTTAATTGCATCACACAGCAGGTAAAAGTTGAGATAAATTTACTCAAAAAAGCACCGTAAGAGAATTAATAGTAAATTAACATAAAAGATACACCAATACTGAGACTATCAGGTTGCCAGTGCAACTTTAGCTTTTCCTCGAGTCAGGTACATCAACAGAGACAATTTTCTTGACCAAAAAATGCATATGCATATGCAAAAGTTGGAGGGGGGGAGTTATTATTATACTTCTGTCATGAAGCTTGCAGATCAGACAGGCAGAAGAAAGAAACTGTTATGGCAGGTTTACACTAGTCAGTCAAGAATCAGGGTTTGGTTCTAAGTTCTTATTTAATTGCTACTTTACGTAAATTGAACATAAAAATCATCACGCCATTCTACACGTTAAGATCAGTTCAGTATGAGTGAAAAAATAGAATAAGAATCAAATGCAGATTGAACCTAATTAACTGCAATATCCCTAATGTGAATATTCCTCGTTCATCTGGACTTGATTTCTATCTACCACCTTGCTGGATAACCTACACCGAGAAATTAAAAACCTGCCTAATTGTTTTTTCAAATGTACCAGGCCAGCATCCGTTCAGTTTGTGAATAAACCTCCACAAAGAGATAGCGTTACCATTTACTAACAGAACAGAGAAAACACAAAATAATAAACCAAAAAACCCTGTAAAAACAGAATATATCCCAGCAAGACCAGAGAAAACACATGAAACAAGGATGTCTCAAATTCCAGGTGGAAAACTTGACTTTGGATGATTAACAAGGAAAACTTTCTTTTCTCAAAAGATCCACAAGTATGGGGGGGTTAAACCTGCAATACAGGCATCTGGACAACGTTGGCTTTAGGAAGAGAAGAATAGCCAAGTGATTACCTAATAGTTTAATAACCAAGTTATTGTTTTCTTCCCCTTCCCTTTTTTGGTGGTTGCGCGTCTATCTGTTCTTTGCCTGCAATTTCTGACAGATCCACTGCATGAAAAACAAGCAGAGGTAATTGATCAAACAAATAAGCAAGCGATTAAAAGATTTGGATCGAGATCAATATCATGAAGAGAAATAAAAGATAAAAAAGGTATATAGTAGCAAAGCATACATCTTTACACGAAATGGTCTGCCCATCACATTCTACCTCTTTGGTAGTGTGGTTCATAGAATACCATATTCCAAGATATTTTTGATAGATGGAAATACCATATTCCATGATAATTTTAGATGGATAGGAATGCCGTATTACCATTAATGTCCCATCATACAAGATTATCATGTTCGGTTATTACAATTTTGACACTATACATGCAGCGTACAGTACATAAATAGGCAATACAATGTATTTATACCATATATATTGTATATATGTCTAATTGTATACATAACATTGAATATATGCAGTATATATTCAATGTGCATACCATCCATATTTTGATGCCTAATCAGCCACATATGGGCAGTATTCCCATGTATTAATCCCAGGAATCTACCATGGATTCCAAGAAGGAACAGCCCCTTTTTCCTTTTTTTTTTGAGGATGTGGAGAGGGGATCATTTTCAAGATTTCCCTTCCTCACAACATGGCAGAATAATTCCAGAGTTCCATAAATTATGTCCTCTACAAGTTCCCAGTGAACTCTACTTCCAAGAAAATTCAAAATGCAACAACAGTTAAAAGTAAAGAAGCTAGAAAGAGATTTCACCGTTGGGGCCCCGAGCCATCAAAGTGAAGAATAAATTGTTTAGCTTTTCCATCTTCTTAGCATCCTGTGCTTGGTCTGTCTTAAACTTGAGACACTGTGACAAAGGAAAAGGAGCCTATGAGACAAAGTAAAAGAAACATGCACACGAAAATACAAGGGCCAATGAACTAGCCATTAGTAGTAACTCATTTATATCTTCCCTCAAGTATGAATCAAATGAACTTTTGGAAGCCTGTAAATATTGTTCTACTCAATTTCAAATGCATGAAACTGAGGCAATGTTATTTCAACAAACAAAAAATGAAACTAAGATAGTGTTTGTTTAGTGTACCATACAAATTTTATACAATACAACTTGTTATAGTGCTGCCCAGTACTCAGTTTAGAAGGTTGATAATTTGGTATAGTAACTGTAACCAATGAAACTTGATACAAATCTTTATAACTAGTTAGGACACTGCTTATGTTTATTAGTGATTTATAAGCTATATTAAGTCTATATTTGGTACGAATGAACTATTTCTGTAGAACTGTTTGGAATTACCACACTTAATTTAATTAAGAAATGCTAAAAATTCTATTAGAATGTGATAAAAATGACTTAATAGGAAATTTCAAGTGAAATTAAAACGGTGCATTCTTAATTTCATTGAAATACTTTAAATTCTCTAAGATGTCAACTTTTATCGTTATAGTTCCCCGGGCTGCCATATGACTTAGAGAAAAAAGATCGCTGTCACTTAGCTACTAGGAAGTTGCACTAATTACATTTTGTAAGTTACACGTGAAGCTTAGTGAAATATACTATTTGAGCCATTTCAGCCTAGCTGTTTAAACTGTTGAACTTGAGCAAACTTGTCTAAGTTGAGCAGATGCTAGTACATTTTTTTGAGCCGTTAGAACCAATTTTGAGCCTTTTTAGCCATCATGTCTATGTTAGAATTCATCATCTAATCATCTGATAAGTGAAACATAAAGTGTATCAAGTAGTTGGTCCTTCTAGATGCACTGAGAGGATCGGGTTTCTTTTGATATTATCAAGCTCGTATTCACTACAGATGTACTCAAGAAGAGGCTAGAAACAAATTCCCTAGACAACGGCTGCATCTATGATAGTTTTAGTCTGTTGAACATTAAGTACTGTTTAGATTTATCCTAGATGATTGAAGGTTTATTTGATTTGGTGCAAACATGTCAAGATCTGAGCAATTCTATAAAGGAATCAACTTCAAAGAAATCCTCTCAACCCATCGCCATATACAACAGTAAATTCCCGCCTATCTTGAGAACCTATATGGCAGATAAGCCCCTTTAGCAAAGCCACCCAAAATCGTCCTTGAAAAGTTTGATACCTTTATATCTTGCCTGACAAACTCCAGAGAGCCTAAAGCTTGACCATGACAATATATATCACGCCAAGCTGTCAAACACCAATACATATGATGCACCTTGACAATTTGCATTGCTACTTAATCAGAACACTTGTTGCTCCACCATCATATCACCACATATTTCTTCCACTACTATAGCGACACATTGACCTTGACAAAATGCCAATAAGAGGTAATTGCTGTATTCCTCTTTTACCAAAATTCCAAAATCAATTCTCTGCGTGCATCCGTCATTTTCTTTGCTATTTGGAGGTCTCTCCCAGCATGCTTTCCTGACTTGATTGCTGGAGGCTTTTCGCTGGCGAAAATTCCTAGCACTCCTCTCCCTTTTAGTCTGTTTTGCAGGTGATGTGGAAGGGCCCAAGGGCCCAGACCATAAAAAACCGCATTATTTTAGAAAGTGATGAAACACACGTGATAATCTAAAAGCAAGTTAAGCCATTTCCGTCCAAGCATGTGCAATCATTGACAAATTAAAATGTTGATAATGTCCTCTTTGACATGCCGATAGTTTCTTGCATGATTTCTCAACCTTAGTTGGTTTATGCTCCTGTAGAATCTATAGTTTTGAGCCACCTTTTGTGGTTTCCTCATGGAGGTTTCAAGTACCACAAGTCCTTGAAGAGCACGTCTAGTCTTATAGTTCTAGATGTTTCCTTACGTTCCTAAGTGAGAAAATGAAGCAAAATGAAAATATTAGATTGGAAATTTTTTAGTATTACAGAATTTTTCACATGATTAGCATTATCACTATTTCTAATTTCTTTAGGAACTCTAGAGATATTAGCTAACACTTGTGTTGTGTTTTGATCAGATTCTAATTCCATGAAATAGGAATAGGATACAATACAAATAGGGTAGAAATTTGAAAAATAAGAATATTAAATCAATTCTGTGTTCAATTCAAACAAGTATTTTGTAATTCCTACATTTGTATTTTGGAATTCAAAATGTGAGGAAAACTAATTTAATTATGCATTAAATGTGTA